TTAAACAGTACATATAAAAAAATGGACAAATTAGTCTACATTAAAATGAATTTTTGTTTATCCAAAGACACCATTAAGAGGACGAAAATATTTACATAGAGACAATAAAAGGTCTTGTATCAAAAATACTTGAGAAACTCCTGCAAATCAGCAAGTAAATGACAATCCAGTAGGAAAAAGTAAACAAAGTATTTGAATGACCATTTCATTATAAAATACCCAAACGTACATAAACATGAACTCACTGTGATTTACTAGTAGTAACTTGGTTGCCAAAAGTGTCTCTTAAATCTTCCACAGCATTAATAAATAAACCCACAATAAAAGAGCTAATTATTCCCCAAATCTCTTTACTAGTAAGAACACCAGGAATATTCTATAATTTTCTGCACACTAGTAATTTTACTAATGGAAATTCTGTTTTCTGAGACTTCTTCCTTATAACAAGGTAAAGGAACGCATGTCTTTACTTTTATCCTCTTCCTAGGTCTCTTCACTAGGACCAGATAGTGTAATTTTGATTCCATCTTAGCATGATAGTTCTGCAAATATAAAAAGTACAGAGACTGCACTTCTTTCAGATTCTCTCCTCTCTAGGCTAACATCTCAGGGTTTTTTTTAGCTGATCTGATGGTATGGATCCTTCACCATTCAAGGGAAATTAGATACATGCCAGTTACTAACAGTTCTTGAGCTGTGTTCAGTTGACATATATTAAAATTATCTACATACAGCTTTCATATATATTATTTAGCAGAAAACTGTAAAAACGGTAGCCAAAAGTTGTTATTTGTCAGACATCTGACATAAAATAGAGATTAATCTTAATTCATGAAAATAGTTCTTAAAAAAAGTAATTTTGAAAGAATTAAAGATAAATGTCTTCTAAATCTCAGACTGAGAGTATGCATTATTCTATTTCAAGTGTAACCAAATTTCTAAGTCCCTCAGAAATAATTAGTTCCTAATAAATGAAAGGTGAAATAAAAATGTATTTACATTTCAAAATCTCATTTGAATAGGTTAAGTATCATTTTAAAAACAAGCTATCAGCCTTCCATCTCAGAAGAAACTTCTCTGTAATGGTTTTAGCTTATGTTAAATTAGTTTTCATTCTCTCTGATTTGAATATCCTTGTGAAAGGAAGAAGTTTAGGAATTTTAATAGGCACAGAAAAGTAGGTTTAAAAGCTTACATATTCTTAAATAATATAACAGGTAGCCTCCACACAGATAATTAAAATTATACTTGAAAACTGTACTTTATTAAAAGCAGAGCTAATATTGATCTCTTACTTTGTTTCCTTTTCTTCCCAACAGTTGGGGGCGGGGGGGGGGGGGGGGGGGGGGGGGGGGATCTAGTACCTTTGAAAGTAAAAATATAATAGACCTTAACTTGTTGTTGAGCTTTAAGTCTTTCTTAGTTGTTTAAATAGTATTTCAGAAAGAGGAATTTGTAAGGTAGGAAGGGCCTATTGAGTATTTCAGCCAATAATTAGTTGGTGGTATATTGTGGTAAAAGACAAGCATTGTTTTGTTTTTTTAACTCTATGGTATTTGTTTAAAATGTTAATAAGTCAGGTCACCTGGGTGGCTCAGTCCTTTGAGCTTTGGCTCAGGTGATGATCTCTTGCCATTCATGAGTTCACATTGGGCTTGCTGCTGCCAGCCTACCAGTCAGTGCAGAGCCTACTCCAGATCCTCTGTCCCCCTCTCTCTGCCCCTCCCCCACTTGCACTCTCAAAAATAAACATTAAAAAATAAATAATTAAAATGTTAATATAGTCTCCCATTTCTGTTCTGCCAAGTAATGGTACATGAGTTGTTTTCAAAAGCAGTATTTTCTTGGGGTGGCTCAGTTGGTTTCAGCTCAGGTCATGATCTCACACTTTATGGATTCAAGCCCTGCATTGGGCTTCTTGCTGACAGTGTGGAGCCTGCTTGGGATTCTCTCTGTTTCTGCCCCTCCCCTACCCATGCTCTCTCTTTTTCAAAATAAATAAATGAACTTTTTAAAAAATGGTATGTACTGAGAATGATTTTTATTATCTCATAAATGTGTTTATTTGATTAATAAAGTAATACCTCCAAACCAAAAATGTGTGCTGTTCTTTATTTTACCTCATAATCTCTCTGCCAGTCATTCTGAGTAGGCATTTCCCTTCAGTCTCTGCCATGTTCTTGGTCCAGCAGGGTTTCTGATCCATTTTGATGAGATACAGGAATGGTGTGTGTGTCACAGTTGCAAAAGTACAATCTTTTTGTGGTTTTGTAAGATCAGATTCCAAGAGTAGAGTCCAAAACCCCTGTGTATCATCTGGACTCCTACAAGCGGTCTTGCTTGTAAAGGATAGATCCTCAGAGAGTTAACAGTATTTTTTCCATTTTATTCCATATGTATATTTTGCAAATTAAAGCACTTTATGTAGAACATATTGCTTTATGGTGAGACTATGAGACAAATAGACTACATTAATTAACCTTTTCTCATAAATCTGCATTTTTATGTGTTAGCATTACTTCACCTGAAATATGTGCTTCATCACTAATAGCCAGTAAGTGCTTTTTAAGACATGTGCTATAATGTCTAATGGGCTCTGAAATTATACTCTGAGTTATTACTGTATTTTCTAATAACTAGCTTTGTTATTACAAGGATTATTTTCTATATCTAACAGGTCAGTACATACTCAATTTAGAGTTGTATGATTTTACATCATTTGGCCAGTGTGGCATGTATATGGCAATGAAATTAATCAGATATTAGTACATATGTCTTAAAGTTTTTTTTAAAAAATGTGCACCATATCAGTAAATAATTTTGAGCATCCCATCTATGTATGGAGTTTTTAAATTAATAAACTATACATTTTTATATAATGACAAGCTAATAACTCTGTAGTATACAATTATGAGGAAGTTCATATAACCTCAGTAATTTCATTTGTTTTTGAGAGAGAGGGTGCAAGCGGGGGAGGGGCAGAGAGAGAGAGAGAGTGAGAGAGAAAGAGAGAGAAGATCCCAAGCAGGCTCTGCCCACTGATAGCAGAGAGCCTGATGTGGTGCTCAAACTCATGAACCGTGAGATCATGACCTGAGCCAAAATCAGATGCTTAACCGACTGAGTACCCAGGCACCCCTAGCTTTAGTAATTTAAAAAATTTTGGAAAACTGGTCAGATTTAGTTATATTGTTACTGTTTTTACTTTGGAATGGAGAAAAACAATTAGCTCTGCCATTGTCATTGTTTATTTGTATCTCCATCTTCGATACTAACATCAAAGTGTGATCCTTACAGAAATCTTTTTTTTTAAGATTTTTATTCTTATTTTTTTAAAGTTTATTTTTGAGAGAGACAGCACACGAGTGGGGGAGGGGCAGAGAGCAAGTGAGAGAGTGAGTGTGTGTGAGAGAGAGAGAGAGAGAGAGAGAGAGAGAGAGAGAGAGAATCCCAGGCAGGCTCCTCACTGCCACTGCAGACCCCGGTGCAGGGCTTGAACCCAGAAACCACGAGATAATGTCCTGAGCCAAAGTCAAATGCTTAACTGACCGAGCCACCCAGATGCCCCCTTACGGAAATCTGTTTAAGCAACATGTCTGTGAGAGACTCTTTAGTTAAAATCTGTAATATTTGTAAATTTACTGTATTGAACATAAACTCTGGTGTATTGAAAAGCAAGTAAGAACTTCTTTCAGTATCAGTACTGCCTATTCTTCCTCTAGAACCAGTGCATACCACTTCTAACACTTAACCATCCAACTTTTGAACTATAGAGTCTCAGAAGGAATTTGTACACATTTCTGTAAAGAGTATAAATTGGCATGATGACATCAGATAATAGTAAGGCAACACCTGTAAAGTTGAAAGTGTGCATTCTTTTTTTTTTTTTTAAATTTTTTTTCTTTAACGTTTATTTATTTTTTTTTTATTTTTTTTTTCAACGTTTATTTATTTTTGGGACAGAGAGAGACAGAGCATGAACGGGGGAGGGGCAGAGAGAGAGGGAGACACAGAATCAGAAACAGGCTCCAGGCTCTGAGCCATCAGCCCAGAGCCGGACGCGGGGCTCGAACTCACGGACCGCGAGATCGTGACCTGGCTGAAGTCGGATGCTTAACCGACTGCGCCACCCAGGCGCCCCTAAAGTGTGCATTCTTTAATCCAGCAGCTCCACTTCTCCGTGTCTATCCTAGAGAAAGTCTTATGTGTACATATGCACATGTGCAAGGCTATTTGTTTTACCATCCTGATAGCAAAAAAGCTAAATCTCTTTCTCAGTAGGGGAATAGATTAACTGTGGTTATGTTTGCATAATAGGACATTTTATAGCAGTAAAAAGGAATAAACCAGGTGTCTATTTTCCGCATGTATCTTAAGAGCATACTATTGCATGGAAATGCAGATTTCAAAAGGAATAGATACTATATAATCCCATCTTTAAATGTATTAAAGATACACACAAAATAAATGTTTTAAATATAGACAGTAACATATTGTTTGAGTACATAAATATGTTAACAGTTTCAAAATATGCAGGGGGGGTGGGGGATCATATACACTAACCTTTTGATGACGGTTACCTTGGGGTCTGAGTTAAGATTTGAACTGTGTCTACACTGTTTCAATTTCTGAGAAAGAAGAGGAGGAGAGATGTTCACTGTGAAGCAAATATGGGGAAAACGTTATTCTCTCTACCAAGTACACGGATCATACTGTTGGCTATATAGATGTCTATTCTTTTCCATTTTTTTGAATATTTTTTCAGTGTTTCACAGCAGAAAGTACTCAATAAAATACATGCTATTTTACAAAAATCAGAATTTGTTAAACTGGAATGATAGTAAGCTTTTTAAATTTTATTTATTGGATTTTGTCTTCTTGTTTCTGATTTGTTCTCTGTACTTCCAAATCACAGTATAGTTACTATGAATGGTCTAGAAGTTGAATTGATTGTCAATAAGTGAGGATTTTTGTATACAGTTATATTTTTTGTTTCATAGGAAAAACGTCAGAGAGAGGCTCATTTTCCCTGTACAGCAGAGACACCGGATTACCAGGCTGTCAAGTAAGTTTAATAAATACAAAAGTCAGATCATTTTTAACACACAAATAACTTTAATAGAAGAGGTAGAAATTTATCTGATTTATTTCACTATTATACCTTTAATTTGTGACTAAATGTGCTAAGATTTTAGTAACTAAATATATTTTCTTCTCCCTCCACTTAAAATGGTTTCTGTTCTCCAGTTCACTAGACTGTCTTTCTCTATCATCAGAGATTTTCACACTCACCTCCATTTTAAGTGGAAGCAAAGCAAGTTATCCTCCTACCGTTTTACAAAATGCTTATCACTTCTGAAAATGAATTTGCATATTTCCTCATAAAAAGAACAGAGTTACTGACATAATTATGTGAAGAACCTACGTTTGCTCTGTGTAGCTTTTCTATCCTGTAATGTTAAACTTATTGTTCTGAGTATTTTCATTTCAGTCCTATACTCTAACCAATTCTTTAAGCTTCCAAAAGTTTCTTTGACTTGGAAATGTTGTTTCAACTCTTCACATTCCTTTAGCATATTGCATTTTTACTAATGGCCATCTTCTCTGCTTCCCTGCCCCACCCCCCCATCTTTAGAGAGAATCCTGAATACTTAATTCACCTGTACATTACCATCAGGATCAAGCTAAAAAGAAAAGAAAGGAAAGGCAGAATGTAGGAAATTTGTTTTCTGCTGTTCACATGCCTTTCATGAGTTCCACCCTAATTTCAGACATGGGCATATGAGCCAGTTTTAACTCTCATTCTAAAAATACTTTCCCATTTAATACATACCACATAATTGTGCCATTCAGATTCAGAAGACCTAGGTTGAAATCCCATCGTTAGAAGTTATTGACCTATAGTCCTAAGACAGGTCTTTTAACCTTAAATCCTATCTCTGTGTTGATTTCCTCATTTGAGAAACAGAATTAGCATTTTGCTTCCACCTACTTTGTAGGTCTCTGAAGGTTAAATTCCATGTACTTGTGAAAGCATTTAATAAAACAAATGCACATTTAACAATTTTTCTGTTCATATAACCTATAAAACAAAGCTATTTTGGTGTTTTTTTTTAATTTTTGTATTATTTATTCAAGTCATTATATTCACTGTCCCATCAGAAAAGATCATTATTGGGGCGCCTGGGTGGCTCAGTCTGTTGGGCGTCTGACTTTGGCTCAGGTCATGATCTCACAGTCCGTGAGTTTGAGCCCCGCATCGGGCTCTGTGCTGACAGCTCGGAGCCGGGACCCTGCTTCGGATTCTGTGTCTCCTCTCACCGTCCCTCCCCAACTTGTGCTCTCTCAAAAATAAATAAATGTAAAAAACAAATTTTTTTTTTAAGGAAAAGGTCATTATTGCTCTTCCTTGAAATGTGCCTTATTAAATCTCTTGTAGTTCTCACTTGGCTTTGGGAAGTGAGAGAAGATCCTTAGCACAACCCTATTGCAAGCCGGGTAACTCATAACCCCAGTGATTCTTTCCTCCTTTATCCTCACTAATCTCTGTATATAGATTGGAAAGTGTATGTGTGAGGAGGGAGCATGCATGTAAGAGTGCACATGGATAAATGCTAGAGCACAGAATTAGTTGAAACAGTGCCCAGTAGTGGCTAAGCCAGCTAGAAGACTTTACTATGGTGACTTGCATTGATTTTCTTTGGTATGTTAAATCATCCTTGCATTCCTGAGATAAACTTTACAAAAGCTATTTTGAATCCTTAATATTTTTAAGAGACCAAAAGGTTTGAGAGCCATGGGTCTAATGTTAGCACTATTGCTAAACCTAAGGTAAAAAAATGATTCTAAGCTCTTTGAAACTACAGCTGTATCTAATAAATCAGTTAATGCTTACACTAAATGAGTTTCCACTTACATTTTTTATACTCCCTTTGCAAAGGTAGTGGTATTTAGTTAGGATTAGTGGTAAGCTGTATTTATATAATTCTCCAATTTTGCAAAGATGAATCTTAACAGTTTTTCCAAAGATGAATATGTTTATACCAGATTTAATTCCTTTTTTTCACAGTTTCTATTTTTATTTTAATTCCATTATAGTTAACATACAGAGTTATATTAGCTTCAGGTATACAACACCAGATTTAATTCTCATATCAGAAAACATTTACTTTAAACCTAGATGCATAACACTGTAATAACAGTTGCTACCATTTACTGAGAACTAGCTGAGCCAGGAATTGAATTAAACATGATCATATTTGGGTCACCTGGGTGGCTCAGTCAGTTGAGCATCTGATTCTTGGTGTTGGCTCAGGTCATGATCCCAGGGTCATGAGATCAAGCCCCACATTGGGCTCTGTGCTAAGCATGGAGCCTGCTTAGAATTCTCTCTCTCCCTCTGCCCCTCTACCCCGCTCTCCTAAACAAAATTAAAATGAAAAAAAAAAAAAAAACTTTAAACATTATCATGTTTAATCCTTTTAACAACACCTGTTTTTCAGACTGAAAAATGGATGTTCTCCAGAGGTTTTAAGTAATTTGCTCAAAACTGTGCATCTAGCAAGTGGTAAACCTTCTAAACACATGGTTGATGCTGTTACAGTCTCAGATTCCTAGTCTGTGCCCTTACTACTCTTTCACTTAATTTGTTTGACCAAGGAGGGATCTGGGAATTAATATTTTAAGCAAGTGCTAATTCACATGGACTGGGGATTATACTTTGAGAAACCCAGTTCTCTATATGCCAAATATAAACATATAGAGAGTATAAAAAAAGGAAGAAGCTATAAGATTACTGCTTAACAATTTTTTATTGCATTTTGGAGAGATCAGGCAGACCTATGGAAAAGAGAAACAAGTTTACTGGAATGTATGAAATGTAAAATAGCAATATTGCTATGTACAAGAAATTTAAAGATATTCAAGTGAGGGAAAGATTTGTTGGTAAAGAATGCACAGAAGCAATGTATGAACCACAAAGAGGAAGCCCAAAATTCAACAGAGGAGAGATTTTACTGCAGCAAAAACATCAGTGAAGACAGGAGGGCTCTTAAAACAAGTGAAAGAATTCCTTGCTGTGAAAGGAACAATACTTTGCTATGTATTACTGTTACTTAGCTCTGCCTATGTTGCAGTTGCTAGACAAAATTATAATGGATGGCACCAGCTGATCTGAGGCCTAAATAGTAAACTTAGGATATTCAAGAGTTAAAAAATATCTGTCACTACTATTCAAAGAAAAACCTATATCCCAAACAGTATTTGTTATCATGGGTCAAAGAAAACAAAAATACAGTAAAACATTGGCTGTCATTTTGTCTTGCCTATTCACAAGTAACATAAAAATCTTAACCATGCAATGATAATAGAAGGAAATGTAAACAGTGACTGGAAAATTATATCCAAACACCACTTTGAAACCATTTTTCTTCAGCATATTCCCCAAGGAAACATTTAACTCTGCTATTAATGTACATAAAATGCTGCTGACATTCTGCAAAATTCAGTCTAATTTAATAATGCCTGATGGGCCTTGCTTCATGTTAAGATGATGTAATAATATGTTGCTAAATGAGTCTCCTCATATTACCTTCATGGCAGTCCCATAACTGATGAGCCATTAAAAAGAAACTGGTGTAGCCGTTTTACTGGAAACAATGATAGATCATTCTGCAATCGAATTTTTTTAATTGATTCAACACAGAACATAGAAGCCAACATCTTTTTTAACAATAAGGATAATTCTTCACCATGATATGAAAAATCCTTTTATCATCACAACAGTTTTTCACTAATGTGAACAAACATGTATCCAAGTAGTTTGTATAAGTTTTTCTTCAAAGTTCAAACCTAAAAGAGGCAGGGTCTTGGTTTTATCCAAGAAGATTTAAGTTTCATCAATGTTCAGGTATCACATGCCTGAGAAAATGGCAGCTTTAAAAACACAGCATTTAGTTATTTGGAAATTTACCCTTACCATTTGCTTCTTAACCATCCTCTTTTTTCATTATCACCAGTGTCATTATATACAGCTATTTGATAATGATAAAATTATAAAAGAGTCAATGCATCAGGAAGATATGACAATGATAAAGGTGTATACCTAATTACAGAGCTTTAAAATAAGTGAAACAAAATTTGATAGAATTAAAGAGAAATAAACAAATTCAAAATTAGAGTTAATGGTTTGAATACCTATATTTCTCAGTAACTGACAAAATACACAAAAACTTAGTTCACCTGGTGTCAACTACTTTGACCTCATTGATATTTATAAAACTCTGTTCCCAACAATTGAATTATCTAAATGCCTTTCTAGGGTACATGTTATATTTAACAGGATTGAACCATGTGCTGATCTGTAAAACTATAGATTGGAAATTTTTGAAAGTAATACAGTATATTATCTGACCAGAAGTAATTAAATTATGTTAGTAAGATACTTAGAGAAACATCAAATATTTTGAAATTAACCTATGTCTAAATAATCTGTGGTTTGAAAAATCACAAGGGAATTTAGAAACTATTTCTAACTAATTATAATGAAATATGATATAACAAAATGTGTTGGTACAGCTAAAACTGCCTAGAAAAAAAAAAGTATAGCTTTAGATGCTTGTATTCAAAAAGATCTGTAGTGTACAACCTGAGTTTCTGCCCTAGGAAGCTAGAAAAACAAGCACAAAGTAAGTAGTAGGGGGAAATAATACTAAAAAGAGCAAAAATTGATGTAATATTACAAAAATAATAGAAAAAATAACAAAGCCAGAATTTGATTATTTGAAAAGATCCATAAAATTAGTAACTCCTAGCTAAGCTGATTAAGATAAAATGGGAGAAAGGGGCGCCTGGGTGGCAGTGGGTTGGCGTCGACTTACCAGCCAGTCCGTGCACAACGTCAGTGAGTTGAGCCCAGCGTCAGGCTCCTGGGCTGATGAGAAGCCGGACCTGTTCCATTCTGTGTCTCCCTCTCTCTCTGCCCCTCCCCCGTTCATGCTCTGTCTCTCTCTGTCCCAAAAATAAATAAACGTTGAAAGATAAAATGGGAGAGGGAAGAAAGGGAAA